AAAACAAAATCGTCAAACACCAAGTTGCTAGGGCATCAATTTACTACTTTAAAAGTGATAAATAAGGAAAGAGAGTTGAGCATTCATCTTGCTATTCTGATATAAACTTTATTTTAGGGTAACCTAATAGTCCTAGAGGATGTGAAAAAGCTTTTCTGTATTGAAAGAGCTACTAAAAGAGGGATAATAGCATTAGAAAAGTCATCATTTTGTAATCTCTAGTGAAATAGCCAATTTATAAAGCGGACTTTAATGGATGTTAAAACAATCTGGCAAAAAGTTGACAGGAAGCTTAGGATGCAGAATCAGGCTATCACAACCTAAAAAATGGAAGGAGCCTGGGACCTGAAACAGACAGTGGAAGAGAAAGAGCCCAAGCATCACACCCGTGATCCCCTGCAAGTGAAAAATAAATCTTTATTGTGTGGAATCACTGACATATGAGGCAACTCATTAGGAAAGTTAGCTTATTGTAAAAGAATACCATTTATATATATTAAAACACCTAAGTACACAGTTATATATACATATTTAAAGATACAAACATATCCAAACACATACTAAAATATTAGAGGGGATGCCTAGGTCAGGGAGAGGAATGAGAAGAGGGGTCAAGGATTAAAAGAAGAAAATAAAGCAATAAAGCAGCTAGTATCAACTGAGAATGAGAGTTCATCATGCTCTAAGGAGCATGGTTGAACTTATGAAGGAATAAAAAATGATAATTTTAAAAGGTGACAAGGAGGAGCACCTGGGTGGCTCAGTTGGTTAAGCATCTGCCTTTGGCTCAGGTCATGGACCCTGGGATCGAGCCCCACATCAGGCTCTCTGCTCAGTGAGGAGCCTGCTTCTCCCTTTCCCTCTGCCTGCCGCTCTCCCTGCTTGTGCTCTGTCAAATAAATAAAATAAAATCTTGGAAAAAATTCAAATTAAAAGGTGACAACGAATCTACCCTTCCCAGAGACAGCCCAGGCTAGTTTGCTGGTAATGATCTTCTGCCTTGAGCACAAAATGGTTCTAGAGAGGAGGCAGTACTGAAGACAGAACCTGCTGGAACCCTCTACCATGTTCACCAGGAAAGTGTCAAGCCTGAAAATTCCCAAGCTGGGAATTTCTCCCTTCAGTCTCAGCTCTCCCTGGTGGTAATGATGCATTCTCCAGACACGGAGCCTGGACCTTGGCCACCACCTTCCCACCACCCTTCACTCCAGGCCTAGGGAGGCTAGACAAAACATAGAGGCTCATTCTGGGCCTGGGTGCTTCCATCCACCTACCCTCCATCTCTGTCTTTGGTAGGCTGAATAATGGCCCTTCCTCCAAAGATGTTCATGTTCTAATCCTCAAAGCCTGTGAATATTTCACCTTTTATTGCAAAGGGACCTAGAATACAAGGTTACATTAAGGATCTTGACATGGGGAGAGGATCTTAGATCATCCCAGCGGGCTCAATATAATCCCAAGCGGATGTAATCACAATATAATCCTCGTAAGAGAAAGGAGAATTAGAAAGAGATGAAAGGTTAGAAGCAGAGGTCAGAGAGGAGAGAAGATGCTATCTGCTGCCTTGAAGATGGAGGAAGTGGCCATGAATCAAGGAATGCAAGCAGCTTCTAGAAGCTGGAAGAGGCAAAGAAATGGATTCTCCCCTAGAGTTTCCAAGAGGAATACAGAACAGACAGGTCAACACCTTGACTTTAATTGAGCTCAGTGAAACTGATTTGGGAATCCTGACCTCCACAACTGGAAGAATTAAAATTGTGTTCTTTTAAGCCAAGAAGTTTGTGGTCATTCATTACAGCAGCAGCAGCAGCAGCAGCAGCAGCAGCAGCAGGAAGCTAGTACATTGGTCCTGCTGCTGGGCAGGGTAGCCTGTTCTAGAGGAGTGACGTCTGTGACACTGAGAAGAGGGGAATCAGAGAAGACTTCCTGGAAGCCCAAGCAGCCAGACTGACCCAGGTTCATATTACAGTTATTTTATTACCTATCTGACCTTGAGCAAATGTCTAAGCAACAACACATTGTTAATAATCCATTATTTATAGGGTTGTTAAGAATTAAATAGAATGTTTTAAATTACCTACTACTACCTAATTACCCACTTTTTAACAAAATAAGTCATACCTCCATGTGGGTTTACACACATTCATTCTTCCATTCGTTCAGGAGGTGTCACTGAGCATCCAGTAGGGCCTGGCCTCGTGCACACAGTGACTTGTCTGCTACAAGCCCCTAGCATTTCTCACCCGAGCTGCCACTGAGCTTCCAGTCTGTCCAGTGCTCAACCTTACCATCCCATCCTAAATGTGGGCCCTTACCCTTGCCCATTCCCGTGGTCTCATATCTCCTTGATGGTCCATCATTCTGTCAGCCTCACCCTTTACCCTCCTAGGCACTGTTTCTGCAGCTGCCACGAGCGGTCTCATCTCTGGCTTTACCCAGTTGTGCCTATCCAACTGTGCTGTATTCCCTTGACCTGTGGAGCTCCCCAACTCCACAGGACCCATCTGGATTTCCTCATCTCAAAGCTCCCCACCCCCACCCCACTTCTAACTTCCAAGTCTGAAATGCTGAGCTCTCTGCCACCATCATATCTGGACCTACTGGCCCTCCCTGGAAAAACAGTTGGTCTGGGATAATTTTTCTTATATCTGCAGTCCAGATTCACAAACCCTTTACCCAATCCAGGGCCAAAGTTCTCTTTCCTTAGAGCCTATGGCTTTTTCTCCCAACACTAAGCTGCCTCTCGGGTGGGGTTAAGAACCCAAATATTAAACCAGAAAAATTGCTTTTGGTCCTTCGGGCTTGAGTGGTGTTAACTGGGTAGGGTGAGGCAACAATCAGTCTGGCCAAATGGCACTGTGGATCTGGGCTCTCTAACCCGGGCCATTGCCATGGATCTACAGCAGGTGACACTGGGGAAATCTCTGCCCTCTCTAGGCCCGTCTCTCCAGCCTGTTAGTGCACTGAGAAGCTGGTCTTCTTTAAGGCTATACTGAAATTCGAGGTTCTATGCAGCTACTCCTGGCAATGGTGCATAATGGCCACAAGAGGGCGCGCAACCCTTTCAGCTCGGAAGTTTGCAGCCTAATCAAACGAGCAAGCTTCAAAAAGGATACAAGCCTTCTAAGTGAAAAGGTAGCTTACCCAAGAGCACGCTACAAAATGGCAACAGAGTAGGGACGGGAAAAGGATATTTGAATTCCCAGCCTGAGGGGAAGTCCGGAGCCCCAAGGCCAGGAGAGCTGGTATGGAGAGGGCTGGTAGGTAGCAGAGGAGGAGAGGCTAAGAATATATTTCAGAGATTTGGATCACTTTGAGGGGATGGGAGAAGGGAGGGTCTTTAGGGAGAGAGCCATAGGCTGAATGCATTGCCCCAAAAGGACTGGAATGGTGCTTGCAGAACAAAACCTGAGGAATTTGGGGGAAGTGGAGATGAACTTAGCTTCTTTCCCTTCCCCAGAATGAAAAGTAAAGAAATTGCAGAAGTTACTCTAGGATCTGGGGGAGACTCCTCCGTGCACGACAGCACAGCAACTAGGCAAGGATCACCCGACATCCTTCTCTCTCCTTTTTGCTTTTCAATAATTAGTTTCAGGCCCCAGGAAAGATAAGGACCAAAATATGGGCAGTTAGCTGGGGTTTAAAGGGATACTCTCCAAGAATTCATTCTCTGATATCAGGTACAGCCTCCTCCTCAGACCTGTCCCCTCCTGGGCCCCAGGTTGGCAGCTTCTGTGAATTCTTTCTTTGCTGTAATTCACTAGGGCCCTAGGACCCAGGCCCAGAGCCGGTCTCCTGCTCTCTCCTCAGGTCCCAGGAGTCTAAGGCTTGCTCTAAGGGAGGAAGGAAAGCAGCCTTTCTCTGGATCTCTCCCCCTCCCAGGACGTGGGCCCTAGGACCAAAGAGCCTCTGTCTTTCCCTGCCACACCCCCACCATCACCACCACTCATTGTAACCCAGACAAGGGGATTTCTTGTGTCTCAGTCTCTGGCAGGCATCCTTGTGACCAAATGGTGGAAGGTCCGGGGCAGAATGGGGGAAGGGAAATCACAGGATCAGAGAAGACACCTCCCCCCTTTGGAAATTATGATACACCCCCAGAGCTCCCAGACTTCAAGTGTCTCCTTCCTCTGATTTCCATCAGCAATAGGGAGAGAAGGGGGTTGGATGGGGGATCATCTGCATATAAAAGGCCTGTGGAAGTGGAAACCGAGAAGATGTAGAGACACAAAGGCTGAACCTCCTGGCAGACAGATCTGGAGCCAGAATACAAGAATGAGGGCAACCCAGGGACAGGGAAAGACAGGGGGCCAAACAGGTCAGGCCAAATTTTGAGAGCCGTAGGTAGAGGGCCCTGCCTTTCCCTCCCTAAAAGCACAGATACAAGAGTGTCACATCGACAGGGGTATGGCCACAAAGGAAGTGAACCCTCTAGAATAAAATGAGAACACCCCATTTAAAAAGCAAGAATCTGGGGTGCCCGGGTGGCTTAGTCAGTTGAGCATCTGCCTTCGGCTCAGTTCATGATCCTGGGGTCCTTGGATGGAGCCCCGTATTGGGCTTCCTGCTCAGTGGGGAGTCTGCTTCTCCCCTCACTTGTGCTCTAACAAATAAATAACATCTTAAAAAAAAAAAAAAGTAACAATCTTTCTGAAAAGAAACACAAACCTCTTACAGTGAGCTTTCCTACCAGGAAGGGGGAAGGGTATGTTCCCACTTGCAAGAAGTAACAGTATGGAGAATAAATGGTATGGTCTTGCCTAGCAGCAGGGGCTCAGCCGCCCGATACTGGCCTCCCACCCCTGAGAGATGGTACAGAGGAAAGCCTACTCCATCCTGGCAGGAAATGACATCACTCACCAGATAGGAAGGGATGGTTCTACCAACCCCTGAGACTTCTGGGAGGGCCAGTCCATGGAGGGTTGGCCCTGAATGTCCATGTCCCTCCACAGTTCTCCATCTTGGCCAAGAGGGGGGCCAAGACTCCTAGATGTTGGTTGAGGTAATCGCACCCCCAACTCTTCATCAGCAATCTCATAGGCGTCCTAAATCCCTCAAATCCTTACCTAGTTCCGGGAGGAAGGGGGGGCACGGAGGGGGAGGGGAAGTTACTATCTTACGAAAAGCCACAGGTCAAACCTCTAGAGTCAATGTATCTATGGAAATAGCTCTAGGGTCCCAATAATTGAGGGATAAAGGCAGAGCCTCCTCAGGGACCAGAAGGATGACAAGGTCAGATTTCCATGGTAACTGATTTTGATGCAGCCTCTTCCTAGACCCAGAATGAGGGAGAATAAATTTCCAGGGAGACCAGGGCCTAGCAATGAAAGAGCCACAGGAATACAAAAGGGTGGGAGAGTTACTATAAGAAGGTCACGTCATCCTGACACTGCCAGTACCAGTGAGCCTCAAAGCCCAGTTTGGCACTCTCATCCTCTAGTGGCTCAGGAGGTCCACCTTGGAGCCCCTCCCCTGGGGGCTTCCATACAGCCCTCAAATTCCCTAGCCTGCTGGCTGTCAGGTCCACCTCAGTCCTGGCCCTGTCCCCACTGGGCCCTATCCCCACTGGGTATAACCTTTGCCCAGTCTCAGGACGGGGAGCCCCAGGGGGGCCCTGTTCATCCAGCTCGCTGGGGACCACCGTGTCTAGGAAGCTGCCAATGGAGAGACTGTCCAGCCGGTCAGTGGAGCTGGTGTCCGGCAGGCTGTCCCAGCTGCCTCGCCTTGAGTGGTCTGGGCTCCCGCCTGTCAGGCTATATTGGCTGCTGGTGAGGCTGCTGCAGTGGCTGGTCACTGTCCCCCTCTCCTCCAACAGCCAGCGCACAGCCTCGATGCCATCATTCAAGGTCAACAGCTGCTGCAGGATCTTCACATCGATGGCTCGCAGGTAAGCCTGGGGGAGTGGGAGAAGGAGTCAGTCTGAGGTTCTGAGCCATGGGTTTCCCAAATATTTCCAGGGGGCCCCGCTTTGTAGTCCAACCAACCATGCTTCAAAGGCAAGAAGCTTGGGAGCAGGAGCATGGCTGGTTTAGAGCATGGGGTCTCAAAGCAGACAGATTACTGTTTAAAATCTCAGTTCTGGGGCGCGCCTGCCTGGCTCAGTCAGTGGAGCACGTGACTCTCGATCTAGGGTTGTAAGTTCGAGCCCCATGTTGGGTGCAGAGATTACTTAAAAACAAAATCTTTACAAAAAAAAAAAAATCTCAGTTCTACCACTGATTAGCCAGATGACTGTGGGCAACTTTCTTACATGCCTTGAGCCTTGGTTTCCTTGTTTGTAAAACAGGGCTAAATTACTCATTTCACAGGATGGCCGTGAGAATTTGGAGATGCTGTTTATTGAGTACTCAACACAGTGCTTGACACAGTCTCGGTAAACGTTTAGTACTGAAATCTGATCCTGATAAGCTTCGAACTTAGGTAAAGTATTAACTACTGAAACAGTCCAGATTCAAAGAATAGCCTGATAGGGAGCCTGGTGTTAATTATAAAGTAGGGCCAAAGGGAGGCAAAAGCTGGGGAAGAAAGAGGAAGTGAACGTGGGTCCCTCAGACTCTTCAGGGTGTCAGTAGCCATTGTTCAAAGGGTCAGAAGCCTGCTGGCTGGGGATTCGGGGCTTCTCTCCACCACACACCTGTCTCCCTTCCGTACAGGGAGTAAGTCTGATTTTCCGGGGAATCTCCAGGGTCCCTCCCAGTTCAGATGCCCTAAATATCTTCCCCAAAGACCAGTCTGAAACTGTCCCTTTCCTGCTCAAGAGCCTCTCCTGGCTTTGCACTCCTCTTGAAGAAGAAGATCCAAACCCTTCAACAGCTGGGATTCCAAAGCTATCACAATATAGCCCTTGTGAGTCTCCCCAGCTTCACCTCTAGCTCATTGACCCAGGAGACTCTGGTCTTGTCACACATGACTTTCTGATTGCGTTTTATTTTGTTTCCTTGTAATCAAAGTAATGGATGCCCATGGATTAAAGAGGCAAACAGTTCTGTGAGAATTATCATGGACATAATAGGCCTGCACCCTAATCCTAAATCTCGCTTCCCAGAGACAACTATTATTCATCTTTTTAGCTGTTTATTTTGGTACTTACCTTCGAATCTCCAAATAACATGCTACTTAGTGACTTTTAAGTTTTAGGTGTTTTCTGTTGACTTCCCACATGATGGAAGGTTAAGGGTTTAACTCTCATCCTACTACCCACTCCTCTGCCACATAGACACCTTTCCCATCTTCCAGTTTTCCCAACGTATGCAATAAAATGAGTTGTTGGGTGATTACCTGATAAGGATTTGGAAATGCCATTCACAGCTAAGATGTACTACTATGGTTACTTTTCATTCCCTACTTCACGTTTTCCTTAGAATAATAATAATAAAAATTTTTAAATGATTTTTTTAAAGATTGTATTTATTTGTCAGAGAGAGAGTGAGAGCATACACAAGCAGGGGGAGCGATAGGCAGAGGGAGAAGCAGGATCCCTGCTGAGCAAGGAGCCCAATGCAGGACTCGATCCTGGGACCCTGGGATCATGACCTGAGCCGAAGGCAGACACTTATCCGACTGAGCCACCCAGGTGTCCCAATAATAATTATTAATCCTTAGAATTATGCCTTAGAATAATAATAAATGATATAGAGCATACCTCATATATTCCATTATTGTTATATTATTATTACTACAATATTACTCCTCTTCTTTTGCGTCATTTCCTACATAGTGATAAGTAAGTCATCCCCACACCCTCTCCCAGTTGTCTGAATTTTCCTCTCAAGGCATTTAAACATATCACATTCTAACTATTGCTGGTTCTTAGAGGCAGCTCTTCAGGAGCCCTCTGATTGGCCCCAGTGTGAACCAGTTGCACAACTGTCCCCCAGGGATTCCCCCTTCACTAGCCTCCTGGGCTTTTCCCTAGTTGGATCCCTTGTTTCCTGGGTCCATGTCTTCTTCTTTCTTGGTTTACTCCTTCATTGTGTGTGGATGCTTTTCCTCCAGTTCCTCCAGTAGCTTCCTGAGAAAGTCTACAGAGGATGTACATTTGTTGAAGCTTTACACGTTTTAAAATGCTGTTCTTCTCCCCTCACACCACTGACAGTTTCTTGGGTATAGAATTCTAGGTAAAAAATAATTTTTCCTCAGGATTTAAGGCATTGTTCCATTGACTTTTTTTCCCCCTAAGAGCTTATTTATTTATTTGACAGAGAGAGAGAGATCACAAGTAGGCAGAGAGGCCGGCAGAGAGAGAGAGAGGAGGAAGCAGGCTCCCCGCTGAGCAGAGAGCTCAATTCGGGGCTCGATCCCAGGACCCTGAGATTATAACCTGAGCTGAAAGCAGAGGCTTTAACCCACTGAGCCACCCAGGCGCCCCTGTTCCATTGACTTTTAATTTTCAGTGTCACACTTGGAAAGTCTGATGCCATTATGATTCCTGGTCGTTCATATGGTACCATCTTACTATTCTTTCTGAAAGTTTTCAGGATCTTCTCTTTGGTCCCAGTGTTCTAAATTAGCCCAATAATTTGCCATGGTGTGTCTATTTTCATCCATTGAATTGGCTACTTGTTGGGCAATTTTAGTTTTTAAAGATTTATTTATTTATTTCAGAGTGGGGGGCAGGGGCAGAGGGAGAGGAGAATGGAAGCAGACTCCCCGCTGATCCTGGACCCTGACACAGGACTGCAGTAGGGAATGGGGGGAGAACATGACCTGAGCTGAAACCAAAAGCTGGATGCTCAACCGACTGAGCCACCCAGGTGCCCCGTATTGGGCCCTTTTAAATTGGAGACACATGTTCCTCAATTCTGGGAGATTTTCTTTATTTCTTTGGTGATTATTTCTCCTCCACGAATTTTCTACTTTTTTTTTTTTTCCTGGAAATCCTATTATTTGAATAGAGGGTGTCCTGGATGGATCCTTTTTTTTTTTTTCCCCTCTTCCATCTTTTTCTATATTTGTTCTAGTTTCTGAAGTATTTCAACATTATCAATGCTCCCGTTGAGTTTTTCACATTTTCCTATCATGCTTTTATTTCTAAGAGTTGTTCTAGTTCTCTGAATGTTTTCCTTTTAAAACAAAAAAATTTTAAAAAGATTTATTTATTTGAGAAAGTGAGAGAGTTCAGGCACGAGAGAGCAGGGTGGGGTGGGGGAAGGGCAGAGGGAGAAAGAGAATCCCCAGCGGACTCCACATGGAGCTCAGTCCCACAACCCTGAGATCATGACCTGAGCCGAAATCAAGAGTCAGATGCTTAATGGACTGAGCTACCCAGGCGCCCCTAAACACTTTCCTTTTTATAGCTTCCTGCCGTGCTGCAACAGTACCTCTTATCTTTTTAAGGATATAATTAATGTTTTTTTAATAAGTTCTCATCTCCCAGTATTATCTCCATCTCATTCAAGGTGTTTTTTCTGTTCATTTATGTCTAAATAGTCGGAGGGTCTCATCAGATGTCTTACAGTCTCTAGTAGCTGCTTATACTTCAGAGTTGTCTCTAAAAAGCTGATTGCAAATTTTACATACGTACGTGAGGCTTGCCAACTCTGAGCCTCACTTGGAATTATCTGGCTGGGTTATTTGGGTTAGCCCTGAAGTCAGTATCTCTAGTATTTTTCCCTTGGGTTCCCCATGTTCACCCATCTCAAGAATATAGTGCAAGCAAAGCTGCTAAGTAAGGGGAAAGGCTGGAAGGGTATTTAATAACATTTAGTACATTTTTACTTAATCCCTCTTTTTAAAAAAGATTTATTTATTTATTTGAGAGGGAGAGATAGAGTGTGCATGCAAGGGAATGGGACTGGCGGGGGTGAAGTGGGGGGTGGAGATGGGGGAGAGGCAGAGGGAGAGGGAAAGAATCTCAAGCAGACTCCCCACTGAGCATGGAGCACCACTGTGGGGCTTGATTTCACCACCCTGCGATCATGACCTGAGCTGGAATCAAGAGTTGGATGCTTAACCAACTGAGCCACCCAGGCACCCCTACCTAATCCCTCTTGCTCTCAACTTGTCTCTAATCTAGAGACATTCGGTTCGAGTTTTTAAAAAATATATAACAATTGGGGTGTCTGGGTGGCTCAGTCAGTTAGGCAGCTGCTGTCGGCCCAGGTCATGATCTCGGGGTCCTGGGATCGGGGTCATTGGGCTCTCCGCTCAGTCAGCAGCGAGTCTGTTTCTCTCTCTCCCTCTGTGATCTCTCTCACTTTCTCTCAAGTAAGTAAATAAAATCTTAAGGACATAACTGTCTTACAAGTAGAATGATAAATCAGACTATGACTAAGTATTTGTACATTGAGAAAAATATAGGCACTGGAATTAAATAGACCTGGATTCAAATTCCAGTTATGCCATTAACAAACCACAGGGAATTAGAATTTTTTCCCCTTTAAACCTCATTTCTTCATTGTAAAATGAGGATACTATCTCATTTAGAGGTTTATATCAAAAAATGGAAGGAACATGGGGTGCCTGGGTGGCTCAGTGGTTAAAGCCTCTGCCTTCGGCTCAGGTCATGATCCCAGGATCCTGGGATAGAGCTGCGCATCAGGCTCTCTGCTCAGCAGGGAGCCTGCTTCCTCCCTCTCTCTCTCTCTCTCTCTCTCTGCCTGCCTCTCTGCCTACTGGTGATCTCTGTCTGTCAAAATAAAATAAAATAAAATCTTTAAAAAAAAAATGGAAGGAACATATTAACACGCACAGGATAGTGCTTGGCAGGTATCAGTTTGTGAACGGTAGCTATGTGGCTTTAGATATTACTGTGGTCAACTTATTCACCATGGCATAAGCACAGAACAAAATTCTGTACCTGAAATTATTTGTGATTTTGGAATAATATCACAACTCTAATTCAATTAAACAAATGAGTATTTGGCACCTGGGTTGTCTAATAATAACAAAGAT